CGTGCACTCAAGCAACTGAGTGATAAAAGCAGGCATATGCCACCAAGTCGGTCTCTCGGTGTAGACGACAAGAGGGATGACAGCAAAAGCTCCTTGAGGACACCGGGAACAGCTCTGCTGACAAAGAACCATCTATGCCCACCACTTACCCAATCACTCCCATGACATCCATTTTCGCTTGTCACTGTTTTCCTTTACGAGGAACAAGCACCGGCAGCATGCCTATGTGCGTTTTCACTCTGCTTCCTCCATTTCCTTGATACAGTCTCTCTCTTCGCTACATCCACCGAATCTTTAAAAAAGCACCATTCTCCTCGCGCCATCCTTGCCGCAAGCATCGACGGCGACAGCGGCTTTAACTTTCACTCAATCTTCCACAAACATCCACATTTGATGTCTTCTTGTCCCCCCCCACTTTGGACCCTTCACAAGTGCCACCTGTCCTCTGTCTCTTCCTCCATTTTTTCAGCAGCAAAATCTTCTTCACCGTATCTATCTTTCCTCTCCTATTCTCTACTTCGCACCAGCAGAGTTCGCAACAGAGGCGTCCGGCTTATATGGCTGAGGTTTCACCGGTTCGATTCCGTCTGGCTGCGGAGTTTTTTATCCTGGCTGTGGAGTTCCCTGTTTGACGGAAAGGGGTTTTCACTCTTGTTTGTTAATGGTGTGGTTATTGTGATCTACTTCGCACCAGCGTCGGCGGGGACGTCAACTCTCGTGTTCCCAGGATGCGCAGGCATACTCGCAGGCGTACTAGCATCGGGTTTCGTGAGAACGATGCCGTCCAGCTCCGGGCCGCAGTAGTCGAAGCCGTCGAGTTTCGCATAGCTCCCTCTGCTATTCAAGGAGACGGGAGTCGTTGCCGTCGTGGAGAGTGGTACCGTGGGGGGTAGCATCGGATGTTCGCCCGATGACAGCGCCATGGTCCGTGCGCACTGCACTCCGAACTTCAGACTGCGGACGACAACCCACAGGAAGGCCACCGTGAAGGCGATACAGACGGTCGCCGAAATCGCTGCAAAAGTGAGAATGGAGATGAACGCTGCCGAGACCGCCAACGAAACCAAGTAGATGACCGAGAGTGTCGTCAAGAAGAAAGCCAGAAAGGCGCTGACAGCGGAAATGCACAGGACGAACGCCAGGATCGCTGCATTTGCGGTCGCTGCAAGGACTACCAACATGAATGCGCAAAACGCACCTAACACAATCGCACTCAAAGCACCAGCCTGCAATACGGAGAACGAGGAGAGACATCTAGATGTGTATAAGAGACAGCTCCTACCCCCGCCCACTCCTACCCCCCCTACTAGCATTCTATACCTCTCCCCTCCTCCCCCTCTTCCGCCCCACTAATAAATAAAAGGAATTCCTAAAATCAGAACTTTTTTTTTTTTCAAGTAAATTGAAACAATTGCTTTATAAATTAAGTTTATTTTTATTATCAGGGCCCAGATCCCAGGGCAAAGTCCATAAACAGAATGTTAAAGAAGGGGCAGTCAGGTAATTCTCCCCTACTGAGGGCTCAGCGGAGTCAGCGCCCCCCGCCCCTCTACTCAAGTGTCACACTGTGATACTACGAGACAGGACAGCGCCCTGATAGCGAGAAAGGGTCCCAAATTAAAAAAAGAAAGGCTCCCATACGGTCCTCTGATTTCAAAAAAAAAAAAAAAAGGAAAAAAAAAAAAAAAAAAAGGTTCCCAAATTATGCGCAGAGAGTCTCACACCCACCTAACCCAGGCTATACCTCTGCGTAACCGCAGGTCCTGTTCTCTATTTCCAAATAAAGAAAGGTATAGGTGCAGCGCCGACGATTTCCAAATAAAGAAAGGTGTAGGTGCAGTCCCGATGAGGAAGGTAGGCAGTCACTGCCTTTGATGGTAATATAATTCATGACTAGGAATTAAAAAAAAAAAAAAAAAAAAAAACGTTAATAAAGCACTTTTGTAAATAATAATATACTTGTACAGAATTTGGTGTCACTAACCTCCAAAGATTTCCAAATAAGGAAAGATGTAGCCACCTATTCCTCGGCCAAAAAAGTCGCGTTCATCCTCTCACCCCTTTCCCCCAAGTCATACTGTGTAAAACGGGGATTCCCAAATGGGGACATAAAAAA